CGATTCGCTATAAAAAGTCTCTGCAAGTACGCGTAACGCGATCGCGGTTATGATCGCGAAATAAGAGTCTTGTTTTATGCTCGCGGTTTTGTCGTGGTCTAAGAATGAAAGCGCTGAATTCGCGACTGTCATGCCGCGATCTGATTTATTCTCGCGAAATCGCGCCATGACTTTCTGGTTCTCGCGAAGTCATCTCGCGATCGCGCATAAATTGCTACTGGAGCACCGGACTCCCATCGCGAATAATACATTGTCGCGTTGTTCCATTTTCGCTTCGCCAGATGTTTGATTCTAGCTAGTTAGCAGAACTTGTCTTCTTGAGCGTACGACTCAGTCTATTTTTCTCCGTGAGTGAATATTATTTCGGACTTTCAGTAATAGTTCACGCTATATTAAGTTTCTATTGAATTCAGAAACTTTTTGTTTGTTTGAAAGTACAGTTAATTCTCTCGAAATAATATTCACTCAGGGAGGAAAATAGATTGAGTCATGCGCTCAAGAAGACAAGCCCTGCTAATTGACTGAAGTCAAATGGAAGCATAGAGTTGCTAAAAACATCTAAACGTAGGCATTATGCACCTTGTTTTACTCGGTTTTTTCTTCGAGAACATGATGCACTTAAGTCGGTAAACAGCAAGTTTGAAGATGTAGTCTCTCGTTTAAATCCTGCCGTCATATTTCTGTCGCAATGTTGAACTATCTTCTTTAATCTATTTATAAAAAGTTAACTGCGAGCTATGCTAGTGGAAAAAATTGGAGAATGTTTATCCGTAAATACTAGAAGCTAATATCAGTTCGTTGCTAGGGCCAGTCTGGCATCCTCTGAACGAGGCGGAATGGCTGAGCCCCAATCCTCTGTGCGTTGAACAGAACCGCATTGGTACTCACTACATCATGAAAGTCACCAACGACAAAGCGATCTTACACCCAGGATACTCACGATTGCGATGACATCAACCTTTGATGTATTTCTCACTTTAGTGCATTTTTATTTTGAGACCTTGCGAAGTTAACATACTTAACGAAGCTGCACATAGTAGAAATTCATATATTTTGAGAAAAAGAGCGCCCCGTTTTGATAAACTGCAGAAACTTCCAGTGTGAATTAGTCTGCACACCACTTTAAGAAAATATGAAGTGTTTCGTACATAACGTACACTGATTTTTTTTTGTATCACATGTAAAATGAGAATAACAAAAACACATCTTCAATCCTACACGTGTCTACTATATATGATATAACCAAACGCGGACTCTATTTCTATATACCAAATATATAAATGCTCACTTAAAATAACAGAAAAAGAATTCTTTTGCGTTCTTCTAATTCAAAAGATTACTCACTATATTTAACAAAATTCCGGTACGTGGCGTGAGCCGTGTTGCGAATTTTAAAACGCGTTTACTTTAATTGATCCTTAGCAGTTTTTGATTTTGATGCGAGCCGTGAAACCATGACTGTCGACGCAACTGCTAAATTGTTCTGCAATCGCCGCAGTTATTGTCGCGATGCGAGTCGCGGAAGCGGGAGTCGTGCTGCCAAATAGCGATCGCGATAAGAGAAAACTATACTGAATTCTTAAGAACCTATGCAGACTTTACGGTCTTACCGCGAGCTCAAGAGTATACAGAGGTCGCGCAGTGAATCTTAAAGAAAAAGTTTTTTTGAAAGTAAGATTTGATCAAGATCACGCCGCGCGTTTAAGAATAGAGCGCGATGCGCGTACAGGATTTCACCGCGACCTCGCCGCGAATGACTCGCGAGAGTGCATTTGAGTACGGCACTAGGCAAGATGACCTATAAATGTGTAGTATCCCTAGGGAAAATCTTTGGTGTTTCAGTACCAGATCCTTGACCGATCCGACAAGGATCCTGCAAGGATTCGCTCTTTTTTCCTAAGGAAACGACTAAATCCTGAAAAAATCGTGTAGCCACGGAATTTCAAGATCCTGACAGGATTGAAAACAAGCTTTTTAAGGATCCTAATAGGTTTATCATTGTTTTTGAACCAGGATTCGGTCAGAAAACGACTAAATCCTGGAGGAAGCGTGTAGCCACGGAATTTCAAGATCTTGACAGGATTCAAAACAAGGTTTTCCAAAGATTCTGCGAAGTTTTTTTCAGGATTTTTAGATACGTTGTGAAAAAAGTTTTCCAGGATCCTTCGAGGATACTGTCGAATTCCACTAGACTTTCATCTAAGTTTCTCTAAGGATTGCGCCAGGAATCTGCTGAGATTAGCTGGATAAGATTGAGTTAGCATGTACTTACAAGAGCAGAACTTGCTAGTATCGTGACGGGACTTGATCAAGATCCTTGCAGGATTTTCTAAACAGAACAGAAGAAATGTGAACACATAGAGTATTAATCTCTTGACCTTCAATTCATGAACTGAACAGCTTACCAGCTGGACTGTGTTCTCGTATAGTACTGAAATGAAAAGTGACTTTTGTGCAAGGGGAAAAAATGTAGTTTCAGTATGTATCCGATATTTTCGGTTGTAACCGGTATGTAAAAGTTCTTTTTCGAAACGTCGAATAAATAAATAATAAAGGAAAATAAGGTATGAACCTTAAAATAGCTGCTGTTCTTATCACAATAATTTTAAAAATAACACCCATTAACAAAATTAACATTTTTAGATATATTGGATTTCTAAGCGGTTACTACTTATTACTGTGTCCACAAAAGCCATTTTTCAAATCACTTTTGACTGGCAATAGCTAGAGAGTTGGGATTTTCGTCATTCGATAGCGAAGACATCGCCACATCCTTACGTAACAGACAAGCTTTCCAAAATTTGTTGAAAACCCAATTTTTCAGGGGATCTCTGGAAAACCGAGCCATAAGACTGAAAATTCAGGCAAAAATAAATAGATTATTTTTCATGAGTAGTTAGCCCAAGGTGTTTCCTACAGAACGGATGCGGCGAGACCTTGATTTCCAGTAGTCAGGTGTGGTATTGGATTTCTTTTGAGCCCCAAGATTGGTACTTGCCGGCATTGCGTGAAACATACGTAGTCAGCCCCAATGAATCTGGTGGCAAAGCTCGTTTTTGGAAAATAATTCTAAAACATGGATTTATGCTGTCATTTTCAGCGCTATGGCCCGGTTTCCAGAGATCCCCTGGAAAACTGGATGTTCAATCATAACGTTCACAACATATGTAAATAATTTCTTTAATGATTGATTTTATTCACAATCTAAATCACGGAGAGTGCATTTTAATGATAAACTTGGTCTAAAAACGACTTTTCAATGATCGGCGCCAGTGTGCAATGTGGATTATAGTCGATCTCAGTTTGAACGAATATATTATAGCTACACAGCTTCAAAAAAAAGTATTCTTGATTACATTGACTTTCGAAGACGTATGAATTTAATACAACACAGTATTTTCCTGATGATGGTTGGTATTGTTGTGTAAGGATTCGAAATACTTATACCTGAAGAGTTCCGCGCAGGATCCTGGAAAGGTCTAGGATAACAAGAATAAATAGGAATTGGAAAAGGATCCTGATCAAAGCTTAGCAAGATTTATCAGTTTATGATTGTAACTGATCCTGCTATCTTCTTGGTAAGATCCTCCTCTGATATAACTATAACTCTTGACAGGATCCTTGTATCAGGATCCAGAACAGGTCTTGACTAAAACCTGATAAAATTTTGATCGAATCCTTTCTTTTATTCTTGTCAGGATCCTCAGTAGGATCGAGAGCGAATCCTAGTAGGATCCTGCATTGTCAGTTCAGAAAAAAATCTGAGTAGGCACTTGAAGAAATCCTGAAAAGGATCCTGCTTAACCATGGAAAAATCTTGCAAACAGGAATAAGCAGGATTCGAGACAGAATCCTCGAAATTCAGGATCCTGAAAGATCCTTCCAGGCTTTCTCAAGAAATGAACAAGATTGAGATTAGGGCGTATATTGTCTCATCCATATCCTTATTAGGATTGACATTGTCTTGCACGGTCTCGAAACGGATATTCTTTAAAAGTTCTGAACAAGATCCTGACTGAAGCTTCGCAGGATTAGTCAGTTTCGTATTCTGACTGATCTGGTAATTTTCTTGCAAAGACCGTTGTCTGATGTGGCTATCACTCCTAACAGGATCCTGATACGAAGATTTGGCCCTGATCTTGACGGAATCCTGATAAAATCTTGGCAGAATCCTCTCTTATAATCGTGTGAGGATCCTTGATAGGATCTAGAGTAAATCCTGGTAGGATCCTGTATTCTCAACTCAGAAAAATATCTGAGCAGGAACTTGAAGAAATCCTGAACAGGATCCTGTTTAACCTTGAAAAATCCTGGAAACAGGAATTACTAGGATTCGAAGCAGGATCCTGAATAAAACTTGACAAGATCCTGGAGATTGAGGATCCTGAAAGATCCTTCCAGGGTTTCTCAAGGAATGAACAGGATTGAGACTAGGGATTGTAGTATTACATTTGAAGTTGCAAAATGTGAATATCTAAGCTCACAAAGTTTATGCACTCATTAAGTATTTAGATTTTGCAGTTTCCAGAGAGTTAGTTAAGAACCGAGACGTTCTGACCAATAGAGACGCAGATGAACCTCCACCGTTGTGAGAGTGTTCTGTCATGGCTATATGCATTCTCTATATCGATGAATGTCTATTATGTTAGTTTTAACCTTTATCGGAACTTGTTTTGCTGGGTGATTTAGTACTGTCAGCTAGTGTTATCAGATAATATTTCAAGCTTTCCCAAAATTCACAGTATTCTTGTACATGAATACATATAAACAGGGATGTAGCCTGCAATTTCCATTAACATATCGATGTGTGTAAACAATTTGTATTGAAATTGCGGCGAGGCAAACACATTCTCAGTTCGTATTATGATGGCGTTCTAAGTTATAGGGAAGATCTCTTGATATGATCCCGAACTGTGTGTCCCATTATATAGTCAACTAAATCTGAATGTCTGTTACTTATCTATCATTGTTCTCCTGGCGGAAAGTGTCATAAGAAAAAGATGGCTGTCTGCCTGAACGCAAAAGAAAAAAAGTATATTACTGCTATAGGAAAAGGTATATGCATTCATATATACTAGTATTCTTTGACCTTTTACGTTTTTTATATAACTCAGTATATTTAATATAATTGAAAAATATTTTTGCAAAATCATATTACATAAAAAGCGAGCTTTTCTTTAACTAAAGACCGTGATATTCGATTAGACAGTCTAGAAAATAACAGTCCAGAATAGAAAAATGTAACAATCACTCAGTTCTATACTACATATTTTTCTATTTTAGGTTTTTCTAGTGCTTCCGTTGTGCCTTGTTTCAACTAGTATATGTGATCATCTCTCTCTTGAATTCGACAGTCATATTAACCTGATCATGGTAGTATGAAGTATCGAAAGTTCGCTTGTAAAATGATTTACAAAAATGTTTTTCAATTATGTTAAATACACTTAGTTTACATACATTCATGAAACCTTAATGTTTTATTCTGTTCACACATACACACATACACACACACAGAGAAAGAAAGGAGTGATGCATTTGTCAAATTCTTTGTTTTTTGAGGAATCGTTAGTAAATAAATTAAAAGAAATAGTTTTTATGAACCAAAAAGACATCACTCACGTTACCCAAGACCAATAAAACTAAATTCTTTTTCATTATATTCAAGAAAAACGTCTAAAATTTAATATTTCAACTTATAATAATGGGAGAGTGTACTTGGACTGGAAACAACACTGCATTTTCAATGGGTTCAGCGAGTTGAGAAGTCTTTCAGTGAAAAATACTGAAAAACGTCTCAAAAATAAAGTTTTGCAGTTTGAAAACCCTATAACTTAGTAAGGAAAAGTTTAAAATGAAATTCCAAAAATGTACCTCTGCGTTAGTGTCTGGAGTATCTCTCGTAAAATTTTTAACTCGTTCGGATGAAATTTGGGGGGGGGGGGGGGGGGGGGGGGGTATATTAATACAAATGTCCCGGGGGCAAAAAAAAAAAAAA